AATAATAATAAAATCATTATTATTTTTCTTTTTCAACAAAAAAATAATAAAACAACAACTTTCTATTACTCTTGTTGAAATCAATACACGGGGGGGAGGGGGAGACAGAGAGAGAAAGAAAAGAAAAAAAAAACGAATTTTTTTTTTTTTCTTTTTTCCTATTTTATTTTAGAGTTAACATTTTTATGACATTTTAATAAAAATTTATATTGACATTAAAAACGGGTAAAAAAAAAAAAATATTAATAATAATAATAATAATAATAATAATAGTAAAAAAAAAAAAATTTTCCCGGCTTTTTCTTTTTTTTTTTTTGGGGGGGGGGGCTCTAAAAAAAAAAAAAAACGAATCTTGACATTTAATTGTTTAACGTTAAAAGCTTTCCTATAAAATTAAAATTTTTTTAACAAAGAAAAGAGAGAGAGAGAGGAAGGGGAAAGAGAGAAAGAGAGAGAGAGAGAGAGAAAGAGAGAAAACAAAGTACAACCTTAAAATTTTTTTTCCCCTTTTTTCGGGGAGAAGAGAGAGAGAGAGAGAGAAGTATAAAAAAAAAGTAAATTTCCCAGAAATTTCGTGGAAGCAGAAAGAAGGAAAAAAAAAAAAACTTTCCTTTTAAAATTTTTTTTTTCTTCTTCTTCTTCTTGTACTTCGTCTTCCAAACCTATAACATGAATATAGAAATTTTATTGGTCTGACCGAAATCATGAAAAATTAATTTTGTTCGGTTTTTTTCCCCCCATCCTTTTCTTCTTCTTTTTTCTTCAATTTAATCAAATTTTTTTTTCCGTTTCCACCACAGTCATTTATAATAAATTAATTTTTCATGATGTTCTTCCTTTATTTATTTTTTTTTTTTCACGCGAAACAAAATGGAAAAAAATGAACGAAAAAAAAAAAATAAATAAATAAATAAAAAAAATAAAGAAAAATGACAAAAACTAAAACCAGAGATATTTAACATATAAATGTAATATTCAATCATTTCTCTCTCTCCCTCTCTCTCTCTCCCCCTCTAAATTCACGGGCGGAAAATCCCTTGAAAGGATTCAAATCAAAATAATAATAATAATAATAACAATAAAATAAAATAAAAATTTAAAAACGAACGAACGAAAAAACGAACGCTTTGGCTTACAACTCAAATTATATATATTTATATATATATTTTTTTCCTATAAAAAGCAATGAATAAACCAGAAGAAGAAGAAAAAAAGAAAAAAGAAAATCATTCGATGGAAACGTCCCAATTTTTATTTTCGAAACAAGACACGAAAACTTTTGCAAAACGTTTTTCTTTTTTTCGGTTTATTCAATACGAATAATAATAATAATAAAAAATATGATGTAGAATTTGTTGAAAAAACGATATGTTATTATCATGTGACAAACACGAATTTATTTAAATTGCATATTATTATTATTATTATTATTATTAGTACTATTAATAGACTTTTGTACGACTTGATAATGTCGTCCTTTATTTATTTATTTATTTATTTTTTTTCTTCGACAATTCAAATTTTTAATTGATTCAAAGTTTTTCCCTAACCCCCCCTCCCCATTATATTCCAAGTGGGAAAATCGAATAGCTCGAGTAGCAATTTTCATGTTAAAAAAAAAAAAATTTAATTTAATTGGCCAAAATAAAAACATGGTGAAAACTCATGAGAACATATTTATTTATAAATTATTATTATTATTATTAAAAAATAATATTAAACGTCTCGTGTTTTTTCATTCGTTTAGAAAGTAATATAATAATAATAATAATAATAATAATTATTATTATTATTTCATATTTTTCTTCCATTGTAATTAGAAAAGAAAAGAAAAGAAAAGAAAAGAGGGAAAACTTTTAAAAAAAAGTAAAAGTCTTTAAAAACTTTGTTTTCTGTCTACCTAAAAATAAAACGTTCAAGATAAATAAATATAATTTTTTTTTTTTTTTATGAAAGAAGAAGATGAAAAAAATAAAAGATGATTTAAATATGTTTATGTTGTGAGTGTGTGTGTGTGCGTGCGTGTGCGTGTGTGAATTGACCGAACGCATATGTTGGAAATAATTTTTTTTTTTTTTTTACATATTTTTATGCCGAACATTGAAAACGAGAAAAATTTTTTAAATTGTGCAAAAGAATTTTTTACAAGTCGTAATAAAAATGAAAATGAACGTGATGTAAAAAAATATTTTAAATGATCCTTTTCTCTATCTCTCTCTCTCTCTCTTTGCGAACGCCCCGAAATAAGGAAATTTTTTTTTTTTCTTTTCCCTTCCTCCCTCCTTCCATTTGCTACCAATTTTTATTTTCACATAAAAATATTTTTTAAATTTTATTGTCATTTTTTTTGGACGTAAACAACAACAAGTTTAAGTAATTTCGAGAGTAGGTTCTTTTCTCTCCCTCTCTCTCTCTCTCTCTCTCTTTTCCCTTATGCCAAAAATGATTTTCCATTGACATTAACACAGTGAAAATTAATAATGATTTTCTAATGAGAAATAATAATTTTATCTCGATATATATCCAATGAAAAATGTAAATTTATGTGAAAATAAATTAAAAAATGATTTATTATTATTATCATCATCATCATCATCTGCATCATGATTATTATCATCATTCGCAAATGACTGTAAATAATTTCTCATTACCATCCAGACGATTTAAATTATTGTTTATGTCTATGAATAAATTTCGATAATTTTTTTAGTTAAAATAAATCTTACCTTAATAACTTGATCAGAAGTCAATAATCTGGCAAGTCCTCCAGCTTCAAACAAATTAGAACAAGTGACTAAATCGAATACATAAACATTACCATTCATTGTACCGATTTGAATTAATGTCAACTTGCCCTTGCTCCCTAAATTGATTCCTTCGCAATCAACAGAAACAACAACTTCTGATCCCTCTTTGGCTTTAGAAAGAATATCATCGATTATTTGATTACTTTCTTTGATTGTATTTATCACTTTTGTAACTGACATAATTTTTATTTTCCATTGTTCAGTCACTCCAGAACTATTGTAATTATTTAAATTTTGCACTAGATTCTTGTCTTTTTCAGAATTATCAGCTAAGGTTTTCATAACCAACGAATTGATCCTTTGTTTTAATGTTTGATTTTGTATTGATGGAGGAGTTAATGATCCAGTTGTTTTTTGAGGAGAATAAGGGATTTCTGTTTGATTATTGTTATCCGTCAACTGTGGAAGCTCGGAAGGTAAAAATTTTGGTTTTAAATTATTGTTTGCCTCATCTGTGTTGTTTTGGTAATTCAAATTATTTTTTAATGCAATGTTTTGCAATGGTTTTTTGAGTGGATTAACCAGTGTAACTAAATTTGATTGTACGTGAAATGAATCGGAATACATTTTTAAAAACGTAGCTAAATCTTGTGAAGTTTTAAAAATGCAACTCCATGCTTCTTCGGGAAAGTTTGAAGTAACATTTTGATATAATTGTTCTACCAATAATGGTCCCTTAACTTCAATGCAATGAAAAAAAAAATCAATCAAATTTGCAGTTATTTTCGGATCAACTTGAGCTTGTTCTAATTCTTGAAATGGTTGAGCTTCAGAATTTTCAAATTCTTTTAATATCACATTTTCATCTCTTAAAACAAACACTTCGGGAAATCTTCCGAGAAATGCTCTAAACTCTTTAATATGCTGTCCAGACATATGTCGCACTTCCGGACTAGCCTGCGATCTGTGACCCAATAATGATTTTATGGGTACTTCGGTTCCAGGCCCGTATTGAAGCAATTTGTCGCGAAAATAATCGATTGCTTCTTTGGCGTAATCTCGGGTACTTTTATCACCGTACTTGGAATTTAATGATGGTAATGTTGTAATTGCATTCACGTAAACGAAATCTCCATCGATAGAAAATAAACTTGGGTATTGTGATAGAAATTTTTTCAACCCTGATTGAGATCCACCAGCTATTTGCCTCATTTCTTTCGTGAACCCTTTGGCTCCAAATTGGCAACTTAAGTCGTGTAAAGTTCTTGGTCCTCCTTTATCCAGTAACCATTCAAAAAAAAATAATAATGTCATATTACGGATTAATTCATACTCCGTACTTTCCATAACTATTTACGAAGTTAACAAATTTCGACTAGAAAAATTAATTAAAAACAAAAAAAATGCACAGTAAAAAAAATTTTTTTAAATATTTTTTTTTTTAAAAAAAATTAAATTTCCCGCGCGAAACCGATGTACACGACTTTTTTCACCTATATTAAAGCCATGGTTCACAAAATAAACCACCCAACACTACGACGCAGCCATGTTGAATTCTTAAGGTTTTCTAAAGCTATTTTGCTTAGGCCAAATTTTTTTTCGAAGTGTTCTATATCTATGCCATTCTAATTTTATAAAATATTGACGGCAAATCTATAAATTAAAAATTATGTTGGCAGCAATGATTTTTCGTCTTGTTGCTCAAAAATGACGAAATTTATGCAATGGCTGTTAGCAGGAGTTTTGTTTCTTAGTATTTGGATTCCGTTAGTTACTAAAAAAGTCAATAACAATTTTTTAGAGGAACATTCCGGCTTTGTTTTGTATTTTCCTTTTTTACTTATTTTATTTTTTGGTGTAAGTATTCATTTAATATTGATTTTGCATAATTTTTACAAATTCCTTATCACAATTGAAGATAACCTCTTTATATAATTTTATATTTTAATTTTTTTTTTTAGATTTATGCCCTTACAGTTATTATGTACAGGGTTTATACATTTAATAATTGTGAAGAAGCTGCTTTGGAATTGAAAAAAGTGAGTGTTAAATAAATATAATTTTTTAATTATATTCATTATTTTTTACTTTTAAACTATTTTGTTTATTTCAGCAAATTGAAGATGCAAAGACTGATCTCAAGAGCAAGGGATTTGAATTTAAGTAATTTATATATAAATAAAACTATAAAAAGTAATTTATGACAATCAGTACAATTTATTTTTGATAGTAAAGTTATATGAATTAAACAATTTTCTACAGTGAATAAAAAACATGAAGATGAAAAAAAAATTTGTGAATAACTTTATGTTAAAAAATTTATAAAAATAAGTATATATAAAGTAAATTTATAAACAATTTTTTTTAATATATTGATGTAAAAAAAAAGTTTAAAAAATGATTTCGTTATTGTTGTAAAGTTCTCATATAGAATAATTTAAGCCTATTCACATAAGAGTTAAATTTATTTCTAAAAAAAACCTTAATTTGAAACACATACATGAAAACCTATCAGAAATGCCCTTGTATTTATTTTTATAAACCGGAATAAGTACAAGAACTTTGTACTTATTAAATAATTCTTTCACGATATCCAATTAAGCTTTTTTTTTGTATAGTTAGCGATAATGTATTTATGTATTAAATTCTTCACCCTGTAATAGACAGAGGAAGCGATTTATAACATGATCACAGCCACTAACCTGAATGATCCTTTTTCTCTTAGTCTTTTAAAAAGAAATCACAGTTACTTGTTAAACAAATACCTGGTTATTACTAAGCAATTTTTAACGCCAATCAAGATAGATTGAATACCGGACCCGCTAAAACCCGCCTTAAACGTCGACTTATTACCCAATATTTTGCACTTTATGTCGGTCCCCATAGACAACATATTGAATATTTTTAGGAGTAATTAAAGACTTACCTAAATTTTCATAAAGTAAAATTCAAAATAAATTTTACATTCTGTTTTCTTTATTCCTTTAGGTTTTTATTAGAAGTAATTAAACAGTTTAAATTTATTTTTACACTATTAATTACATTTAATACTTTTGTTTCAACGTTTAGTTTAACATTTACGAAAAACTGTTAAGTTAGCATTTATTCCCGCCAAAATTTTCTGAGAATATAAACAAAAAGGCGGTGCAGTATAAAGTAAAAAGGCGGAAAATTTACATTCCTGGAAAATAGTTCGCTTTTGAAATGTAATATTAGTTATTTGTGTTTTAAAATAATGGACTTAAATAATGATAAACCTCGAACTCAACCGGCACCAGTACCGTTTGAAGTTGTAAGAAACATTTTATACTACCTTAAAAAAATATAACCTAAAAGGTTAATCTTTTTAAAATATAACTGTAAATACATTAAATTTTTTTTGCATTTTCAGAATTTTCCAAAGCCACTCGTTCCTGAGCTTTCATTACTCTCATTAGATAACACCGCCGATAATAATGAAAAAGAAAATAATTCAGATTCATTAAACGACTTTCAAAGTTTTAATGCTTGGAAATGGAAATATATGAATGGCAGAGAAAAAATTGAAGAAAACAAGTCAATTAATAAATGTAATAATTCAAATAACTGTGTTATAATCAAGGATAAATATTATTTATCTGAAACAGAAAAAAGAAAAAATGAAATATTATATGGGCAAATGGATGATGAACCCAGGCGACCACTACCTCCTAGAACATTTCAAGAACCTCCTTTGATTAAAAATTTATATACTAGCAAACCTATAATGAATGAAAGTTTTATAGAAAGCTCATTTAATGAAAACAAAAATGCCGAATCTTATAAAAAGTCTGTTGTCAATGAGCCAAAAGAAAATTTGAAATCGGATGCTTTACTAGCAACTTATTTAAAGAAAGAATTTGACACATCGAGTAAATTTTACAAAATTATGACTGAACAAAACAATCAAATTCAAATTTTACAGCAACAAATTGAACAAACTTTAAAATTTCAAGACATTAAAGATAAACAAATAGAACAGTTGCTTAAACTTCAAGATTCTAAGGAAAAAAAAATAGATCAATTATTACAATCTGCCGAAATAAAAGACAAAGAAATTGATAGATTATTAGATATAAAACAAAAGCAAGAGAAACGTTTAAAAGAGCTATTAAAATCAGAAGAAGAATGGGAAAGAAAAAATGCAGAGTTAATTAAAAAATTAAAACATTTACAAAAACGTGAAACTGTTTCAGTTAGTACAATGACAGATTTCGAAACCACCGATAGTAGTACTAATACATCCCTAAATTATTTATCAGAACAGAAATGTGATGGAAAAAAGGAGACTTTAAATAATAGCTGTGTTAGAGTTAGTAACACCTTTTTTGATTCTTATAGACATATAAATATTAATTTTAAACAGTAATTTATATATAAATGTACAATCATTTGGTTTTTTTTTTTTTTTTTTGCAGGATTCAAATGAAAGTCTTGGTGTTCTAGATAAAGATAAATCGATTAGTTTAAATTCCAATGATCTTCCACTAATTCAAGAACATGTGCCTACTCCTCAAAGCTCTATTCATCTGGACATGCAAGACTTTCATTATTCTTCAGAGTATAATTTTTAAATAAAATTTATCGTTACTACTTTATTTCGTGAAAAAATTGAAATATATATATTTTTTTTTTTTTTTTTTTTTTTGTAGAGAAAGTGATAGTGACTCAGGTGTTTTGAATCATAAACAACATGCCCCAAACCTTATTTCTAATAAAATGGGATTAACATTTTATAACAATGTTATGGTAAAAAATTTTTTATTAATTTACATTGGAAAATTACAATTTTTTTAAATTGATTTTTTTGATTGATAGTCTCAAGTAAAGAACATTATACAAAACACTGGCGATAAAGAACATGAACCTGATAAAGAGAAATATATATTTAAAGAAAGAAATTTAATTGAAAAAAGAAGTTCATATCAAGCATTAGAAGTTATCGAAAGAGATAATAATTCTTTAGGAAATGCTAACTTACCTAAGTGAGTCAATTTTTTATAAATTATTAATTAAAATTAAGAATGCAAGATTTTGTATGGTAATTGTGTATAATTTTAATAAATTGCAGTAAAATTTTTTTTCTATTTTTTAACAAAACTAGTTAATATGTCCATTTTTATAGAAGAAATGGAATGGCCTTTAAGTGTTTTCGTAAGACAAAAAAATAATAATTTTTGTATTTTTTAATATGTTTTTTAGATATTTATTTGATCCTCCAAACAATGGAATCAGAGAAAATTATTCTCCTTCAGATATAAGTATGAAAATGAATTCACTGGCATTAAAATATTTAAAACATGAGCAAATATCTCAGTATAATTTACAACCGCAAATAATGACACCCAGGCACCCAGATGTTACTATATATAATGTTACCAATCTCTCATTCGGGTCAACCAAGTAAGTACATTAGGTTATGAAATAAAGTATTTATGTAATGAAAAATTAATATTAATTTTGTTTAACAGATATCTGGATAGATATAGAGGATTACCTGGTATCGAAGAAACTTCAGAATTTAATAATGATCAAAATAGATTTTATCAAGCATCGAGAAGAAGAAAGAAAAATGTAGTTCAAGACGATCCCACCAACACGGGGAATATTTTAAATATTAATACATAAATTTAAATCTCCAAACTTGCAAACTATGATTGCTATTTTAATGGTTACTTTTAATCATTTATGTACTGATTTGGCTTTCATAGTAATTTTTATTTACATAATTAATAAATTAAGACGATAAAATTGAAAACAAATAATCATTTATTAATTAACTAAATCTGACAAATTTTTTTTTAAATATCTACAAAAATTAAAGAAAAAGACTGTTCGTTTGTGGCATCACATATGTAACTTTATTTTCATAACACAAGTACTACTTAAAAAAAAAGCACATTGAAAACATTTTAAAAAAATTTTTATTATAATTAATTAACTTTCATAATTAAATTATACAATTTATTTTTTAAATCGGTAACTGACTAATCATTAATAATTTAAATTGAAAAGCTTTCTCCACAGCCACATGTTCCTTTTATATTCGGGTTATTAAATACAAACTCTTCACTTAATTTGTCTTTAACATAATCCATTTCTGTTCCGAGTAATGTTAACTGTGCTTTTCTATCTATAAATACCCTTACCCCATCTTGGACGACTTCTTCATCTAATTTCCCTTTTTCAATTGCATAATCTAAAGTATAACTTAAACCGTTACAACCTCTTTGTCTTACTCCTACCTTAAGTCCTATCTAATAAATGAAAAAACAAAATTTTAGGTTAAAAACGAAAAAAAATTAAAATTTTTTTATTGGCTGTATATACTTACATATTCTGTTTTATCTTTCAAAATTTCTTTGATTTTTTTAACAGCATTAGGAGTCTGAAAAGAGAAAGAATTTCATTTAATATTAGTAATATTATTGATATGATCGTGTTGCAATTTCTAACAAAATTTTAATAATAGAGCAACAAATTTCTCAGTTATTTAAAAATCTTTATAATCTTTATAAAATAGTTCAAAGTTCGTTTGGACTTACCAATACTAAAGCAGCTCTAGTAGGTAAAATTTTTTTAAATTTAACAGCTCTAACTGTAGCTGATGCAGCAATTTTACTGGTCATTTCAAGTTTTACGAACGAATATATTGACAAAATTAATTTATCATAGACCAATAAAAATTTATATAAATAAAATTTTAATAAATAAATATGTAGTACTAACAAAACATGTCGCTAAATCAATTGCCTAAAAAAAAAAAAAAAAATAACACGGTAAAAATATATTGAAAATAATTAGAATATTTTTTATTCTCATTTAAAAAAAATATTTATTACATTTAATAAATAAACTTTAAATATTACTTAATAAAAAATTTTAATAAAAAATTAAGGGAAAAATAATAAAATTCAACGACCGCCATGTCTGAAAAATTTACACTTCATCTTAAATAAAAAATTTATATTTGCTTTCTAAAGATAAGCATAAAAAAAAAATGTCAAATCAAAAAGGCAGTTAAACAACTTCGGAATCGAATGACGTCACTTTCGGAAAGTATACGAAGTTCGGATTGGAAAGCCGAAGTAGTTCGACTCCAGAATCACCGCTTGTATCATTCCCCCGTAGAGGCAGGACGAGTGAATTTAGTATGTGTCCGCCATTGCTCGTTCGGCCAATGTTGGTTGAAGAGTCAACCTTTATCAACCAATTTCTTCCTAATGCAGCATTCTCCACACGATATTAAGGAGAAACTATTGAAGGCACTCGATAAGGATTACAATGTAAGATTTTTTAAAGATTAATTCGTAAAGTAATACGAAGAAAATGTGAAAATAAGGAATAGTGAGTTTTTTATACGTATTCCACCATTGACTAGCATGCCAAACCAGATTTTAGGCTGATGTATTTGACCACTTTTTAGGACTTTATGGCTATTTTTACACTCGAAATTGTTTTATTTGTGTTCTATAATAAGCACACTTTAAGTGAGAGTATTGTTCACCCAGTATATGAAGATTTTACTTGTTAATTTTAATGCTTATTTATAGTTTGCGGACACGAAAATACTGCCTTACTGCGAATCTCTTATTTTTCCTTCATTGTGCGCATGAGCAGAACATTCGACGCTTGAATTTGTCATTTCCGCTAAATTTCAAAAGTTTACAAAATACTTTGTTTTTTTTTTTTGATAAAAATTTCCATTTCTATAATTTAAACCTGTAATTATATTACGTTTAAGTGAAAAAGGAATTCTAATATTCAAATATAATAATTAAATATAATATATTACGTCAGTATTTTTTTATTCATTACTGTACTATAGATTTTGGTACCCCCATTTTTACAATTTCAGCATTTTATTAATACCAAAATGTAAGTTTTTATTTAATTTTTGTTTTAAAACTAAAACATTTTTCACTTCTTAAATTTAATTCAATTCCCAATGGTTTTTTAAAAAAAAAAATAAAATAGGTTAAAATTATTTTTAAAAAAAAAATGAAATTAAATAAATT